GCAGCCATTTGGAAAGTGAACCAGAGGATGGAAGACTTCTCTCTGTGTCTTTCCCTCTCTGAATGTAGCTCTCACTTTCAAATAAATAGATCTTGCAAAACGTTTTCAAATAAATAAAAATAAATAATATATTTGAAACACACACACACACATATATCTTTTCCACAGAATGGCCAGTTAAAAGAGGAGAATATAAGAAATAGCATACTGGTCAATCCACTGCACATGAAAAGTATGCATAAGAAAACAAAGTTTTCTTTGCTACTAAAATAAGCAAAAGCTTTTTCTTTTTTAAAAAAGATGTATTCAGGGCCCGGCGTGGTAGCGCAGTGGTTAAGGTCCTCGCCTTGCACGCCCGGGGTTCCCATATGGGCGCCGGTTCTATCCCGGCAGCCCCGCTTCCCATCCAGCTCCCTGCCTGTGACCTGGGAGAGCAGTTGAGGACGGCCCAAAGCTTTGGGACCCTGCACCCGCATGGGAGACCCAGAAGAGGCTCCTGGCTTCGGATCGGCATAGTATCGGCCGTTGCGCTCACTTGGGGAGTGAATCATCAGACGGAAGATCTTCCTCTCTGTCTCTCCTCCTCTCTGTATCTGCCTTTCCAATAAAAAAAATAATAAAAATAAATCTTAAAAAGATGTATTCATTTTTATTGGAAAGGCAGATTTACACAGCGGACAGACAGAAAATATCATCCAACAGCTGCAATGGCCGGAGCTGAGTAATCTGAGGCCAGAAGTGGGGAGCTTCCTCTGGGTCTCCCACACGGGTGCAGGGTCCCAAGGGTTTGGGCCAAATTTACTAGTTTTCCAGGCCACAAGCAGGAATTCTTGATGGGAAGAGAAGTAGCTGGGACATGGAGCAAAATAAGCAAAAGATTTTAAAATGATAAAACCTTAACCCCTGCACCTAATCCTAGGCAAATATTAACCTATTTTCTTTTCCTGTGTGTTTGTCTATTCTAGGCATTTCATCCAAGTGGAATGGTGTCGGATGTGGTCTTTTGTGGACAGACTTCTTACACTAAGCATAATGTTTTCAGGTCATCTGTGCTGTACCATGTATCCAAGCCTCATCCCTTTTTATGGCCAACGAACATCCCATTTTGCGGGTACACACTTTATTGATGTGTTCATCAGTTGATGGCTTGTTGGTTGTTTCCACTTTTTAAGAGATTATATATAGGTCAAGCTGCTGGGAACTTTGAGGTGCAAGTTCTTAATTTCTCATGGTTATATATCAATGACTGAAAGGCTAGGTCATTTGAATACATGTTTAACCCTTCAAGGAACGACCAAAGAGGATGAATGCTTCAGGTGAAGAAGAACCAAACTGAAGTTACCCTATGAGCCATGTTAAAATATAACTGAGACCAAAATAAACTCAAATAAACTTCAAATCTATCTCTTCTAGTTCTATTGACTAAATGACCAGCATAATGAAAGCACTCCTACCACATGAGTCTGATATGTAACCCAGGTATTCTGGTCTGCCAAGAACTCTGGCCTACTCAGGTCTTGTATGCCTAATCTTATTCAAAGCAGAAAAGACACAAAGTGGGTTGAGAACAACCAGGCAAATGTCAGAAAATGAGACACCAAATGCATGGGATCCTAACAAAAGAATACAACAGGCATCTCACAGCAGCTGCAACCAGTCAAGAAATGAAGAGTCGAGCCTCAGAAAAAATTATACTTAAGTATAATAAACTACATTTTTACAAAATAAATATATATAGTTTAAAAAGAAAATCTTTTCAGCTAGTACTTTTCTGTTTATTTTTTTCTGATTTTGTTTATTTTGTTTTTAAGTAATAAAAATTATTACTTATGTTTAATCTTAAATAAATTATCAGGAGACTAAGGTGCACTTTTTTAAGGACTAATATGGTGGCCCCTGTAAGACAGCAGCCAGGCTAAGGAAACTTCCAGCTACTCACGAAGCTCCCTCTCAGAACACTCCTCTGCTAGACCACCTGCTCTCATTCTCGCAAATGTCACTGAGGCGCAGTACAACACTCTAGTCACAGTTTTGAGAGACCTGCCCCACCTCCCACAAATGCCACAGCCTTCCTGGGCACTGGAACGGAGGGAAGTGGACTTGCAGCCCACAGCCGCCTGGACTTCACTTTCAGAATGTGCTAGGGACTTGAGACTTCTACTCTAACTTTGCCTTTATCTGGTGGCGGCTTTGAACGTTGCCTTTGGTGATCATTTTAGTCCTAGGGCTCTTCAAAGAGTTCCTGGAAAATGTACATTATGAAAAACCTTTGTGTGTGGACTTCAAATTTTTTTTTTTTTTACATCAGAATACAATGATCTTAGAATTGCATTTTTCCATGAGTCCTTTTAAGAAGCCTCATGATTCCCTTGCTTAGTGTGGCTCATCAGAAGGCTCTGTTAGAGGCCAAGGACTCCCACACTGAGCCTTCTGTGGTGTTAGCATGAGGAGGCAAGTTCAGGGGTTTTTGTCATTCCAGACTGAGACCTGGACCACTGATCCTCTTTTAGCCGGGCTAGGTAAAAGCTGACAGGGATAAACAATTGATTCATGGGCTAAAAACACGCCCATAATTAATATTTAGCAGTCTCGTTTTTTTGCAACTTCAGATCCATGGATATTTAGTAACTTAGAATTATAAAAGGAAAATTAAGTCATTTTAATATGTAACTGCTACATTAGTGTTCTCTTAGAAATTATTTCATCTATTTTTAAGTAAAGGAACTCTCATTAAAAGTAGAGCAAATTGGCCCTGGCACGGTAGCCTAGTGGCTAAAGTCCTAGCCTTGCATATGCTGGGATCCGATATGGGGCACCAGTTCCAATTCTGGTGGCCTCACTTCCCACTCATGTTCCCTGCTTGTGGCCTGGGAAAGCAGCCGAGGACAGCTCAAAACCTTGGGACCCTGCACCTGCTTGGGACACCCAGAGGAGGCTCTGGGCTCCTGGCTTTAGATTGGCTCAGCTCTGGCTGTTGCGGACAGACTATCTTCCTCTCTGTATATCTGCCTTTCCAATAAAAATAAATCTTTTTTAAAAAAACAAAGGTAAAGCAAGTTGTACAGTGAAAATTTAGTCGTCTTATTTTAAAAACTGCAAAGCATTGCTACTAAAAACAGATATGCAAAATTGGGTATATAAAATATTTAGGCATACAGTTAAGAAATGTTTACAAGTCCCATCAGGATGTATGTACTGTAGGGGAGTGTACGCTTCCATGGACTCAAGTCTGAATGAGTATCAACCAGTATCAACAACATTGGAGTAAGCTCTGTTTGAAAGCTGTAGGCCATTACCAGGTGCACTGAGGTTTTCAAAAAACATAGTCACTTCACATGGCTGTTGTATTTCATAAGATAACCTCAAAACTATCTTGCCTGTCTAGAAAAACAATTTGTCAAACCTGCACTTTTCACTAAACACACCTACGTGCCTCGTCTTTGACACAGAAGAGCAGACGCTTGGAGTTTGACTCTTATGACCAATTATTCCAATCGGGGCGACACAGAAGGATGTATAACGTATAAAGCAAACACAGCACTGAAACTGGATTCTTTTTTAAAAAATCAAAGAGACAGAAAAAGAGGCCCATTCATGAGTTCACTATCCAGCAGCCTGGCTGAAGCTTGAAGTCAGGATCACTTTCTAGGTTTCCCAAGCAGATGACAGAAAGCCAGTCACTCGAGTCATCGCTTTCATCTCCTAGGGTTTACATTAGCAGCAAGTCGGAATCAAGAGCCAGATGTCGGGACTAAATCCGGATACTTCCACATGGGGGCGGGGGCAGCCATTCTAACCACCTGGCTAAATGCCTACTCCTCTACTATTCTTTTGTTACAATTTTTTTTTACATGAGTAAAATATCTTATATGACCTAGAGTCTGTACGTATCTTCCTCATATTTGGTGGCTTCTATATATTCAACAGAAAAGCATTGCTTTTTCTGAGAACTGCTTTAATTTCTCACAAACCTTGAAGAGAGCTAAGGGAAGAGGATTCAAATGAAAAGAACAGGGAAGTGAGGAATCAGCACAGAATGCATTATATGACAATGCTGGAGCCACTTAAGTTAAAGTCCCCATCTACATTAGTCAGCTGTGACCCACTGACCTGCCATTACCAAACGCAGTGACCGGCATTATTAATAAAGACCAATAAATATCTAGAAAAAAAAATACCCTCTTCACTATGTCCTATTCCTTCATGATGAAAAAAATTCACAGCAGAACAGCTAAAACTTCCAGGTGCTAATATTTAAAGGGCCCAGTTTAGTTATCTAGGACACCTCCCCACTTTTACTTTCCCACAAGCATTTATCACTTAGATTTGTCATTTAGGTGGTGTCGTATTTTCATGAATTAAACCCAATTTTAAACTAACATCGTTCAACAATTCTGAAACAAGCATGCACCTGTTACCTTTTTTTCCACATCCACCTGTTAGATTCTATTGGCTGATTTGGTTAAATCAAACTCTAACATGAAACCTTACAACAAACTACAAGATGGCCAACCCCTCAAATACAAAATACAGGACTCAAATACCCCAGCTCAGATCGCTGCCCACAAACTTTCCAAGTTTGATCACTGGATCAAACTTTTTTTCTCTAAAGGAAACAATAGCAAATATTTCAGGCTTTGCAAAAACGCTGGTGGGTGGTGACTTCGCTGCTACAGCGGGCAAGCAGCCCTGGACAGTACACAAAGGCATGAGCGTGGCTGTGTTCCAACAAAACTTGATTTATGAACAGCGAAATCTGAAGTCCACACTTTGCTACGTGACACCACTAACTTGCAATTCACATTGCAACTCTTCCTCTCTGCTGGCGCCCTGGGGAGGGTCCGCCCCGCTGCCCTCTGCTTGGGCACCAGCAGCGGAAGCCTCAGGACCTTGGACAGCGGGGTCCGGTCAAGGGAGGGGAGGAACCCGTGAAGCCGGAAGCCCGGGAGGGCTCCCAGATTGCATCCCGGGGTGGCCGCGGCACCGCGGTCGTCACTCACTCCGAAATGCGGGAAATGCCGGCACGGACGAAGGCCATAGCAGCAGCGCAACCAGGAGGACGAAGGGCTTCATGGGCGTCGTCCGCAACACTCCGCCATGCGATCGGAACGTCCTGGGCCCACCAGGCCGGGGACGTGAGGCCCGAAAGACGCTGTCAGTAGCGGACAGTCCCACCTCAGGGCCCACGGCGCCCCCCCGACAACGGTTGTCCCCAGTGCACCAGCGCAGCGGGCTGGGAGCAGGGCGCGAGCAAGGCGCGGGACAAGGAGAGCGCGTGCGGCGGCCCTCCCGATGCGCATGTCCACTTGCAGGCAGGCGGCGGCCGGACACGTCTTTGACACCCAGGCTGCTGCTCTGGGCAGGTTCCTTTGGGGCAGCAGGCTAGTAAGTCCCGCATGGGCTGGCCATGGGCAAAACCCAGTTCCCTGTGGCGAAGGAGCTGTTTGGTGAAAAGAGAGAATAAGGCAATTAAACAAGTGTGAAGTGTTTATCACAGGGAGGTGGGGAGGCCCCCTGGGCACCATGGAGTGTGAAGAAGACTGCTCCCCACTGAATCGTCAAAGCAGAGGTGTCGAAGAGCAAGGTACAGCAGTGAAGATGGTTCAAGCAGGTTGGCAAGAGGCAAGGGCACATAATTTTGAGGTGGGAGGGAGAGAGGTAGGCAGGTGCATCAATGATGCCTTAAGGGGCATAAGAGTTTTTTGTTGTTCTTTTTTGCTTGATTGTTGTTGTTGTTTGCTTTATTTTGTAAAAGATTGCATTTTCCAGGCCAGGCACAGTAGCCTAGCGGCTAAGGTCCTTACCTTGCATGTACTGAGATTCCATATGGGCACTGGTTCTAAAATAAGAGAATAACAGAGAAAGAAAGAGAGAAAGAGTAGAAGAAAAGAAAAGAAAAGAAAAGAAAAGAAAATTAAAGAAAAGAAAAGAAAAGTAAAGAGCTGAGAGTCAGAAACACACAGAACTCTCTCAACTGTTTGCTAACTTTCTACATGCCCTCAACAGCCAGGCTGGGTCTGCTCAAAGCCTGGAGTCAGTCTCTCATTTCTGAGTCTCCCTCCTTAATGACAGAGACTCGACTATCCAGGAAGCTGGATTACAAGTGGAATGGAGCTGGTGTTGTGGTGGAGCACATAAAGCCATCGCTTTTGGGCAACATTCCATAAGGATGCTGGTTTGTGTCTCAGTTACTCCTGATCCAGCTCCCTGCTAATGGCCTGGGAAAAGCAGTAAAAGATTGCCCGAGGGCTTGAGCCCCTGCACCCATGTAGACAACTCCTGGCTTCATCCTGGCCTAGTGCTAGCTTTTGTGGCCATCTAGGGATTGAACCAGCAGATGGAAGATGTGTGTGTGTGTGCAGTTTTTTTCAAATAAATAAATCTATAAAAGAAGAAGAAGGAAAAGGAGAGGCACCTCTAAGTGCCAACTTCAAACACAACAGCTCAATTTACTGCCCCACAACAGTGGCCCCAATTCAACAAAATCTGAACAGTTTTTCCAGGAAAAAAAAATTGAAATCCCAAAAATGTTGTTCATATTGAAAATTTCAAGAATAAAATCACAGTAGTCTCGGAGAAACAATTCTCTATAAGGTGTTTGACAAACATTACAAAGCAGTGCCTTAAGAGCCGTGTTGGTGGGTGGCTTTGTGTGGCTACACTTGACAGAGGTTTAATCAGTTACTTCCAGGTTAGTCAAGATGAAGAGGGTTAGTCTGGGGCTTGGTGATGCCTCCCCACAGAGCCTGTGCTTGCTATGAATGAAATAGTCACAAGGAAGATACATCCAGGACAGGCATTGTTACACAGCAAGTTCAGCAGCTGCTTGAAACACTGGAATTTCATGTAGGAGTGTGAGTCCAAGTTTTGGCCACTCTTCTTCCATCTAGTTCCATGCTAATGTGCCCGACAAGGCAGCAGAGAGCTACCCAAGTACATGGGTTCCTATTAGACACAGAGGAGATCCAGGCTCCTAGCTTTGGCTTGACAAAGCCCTCCTGGGGCGTGAACCAGAGGAACCCTGTTGGCTACTAGGGAGTGAACCAGCACATAGAGCATCTCCCCCCCACCCCCGCTCTCTCTCTCTCCCTCCTCTTCTCTCTCTCTCTCTTTTTCTCTCTCTCTCCTCCCCGCCCCCCCCCAGCTTTCAAAAATAAATTTAAAAGTTTTAAAAGAAAAGAACAAGCCATTACTCAGATAGGGATCTTTAGTTTACTGGTGAACTAAACATGTTCTTCCATTTCATTTATTCTTTTATGAAAGAGTAGGCTACTTGCAAGTAATAATAATAATAATAATAACAGTTTTTACAAAATCCGAATGCTTAGAGAAGGGATGGTTGATGCTGAGATTGTGCGGAAATGTGTCCTATACGCTTTGCCTTACCCCATTGGAAAATATTCTAACATGGCTTATTCATTACCCCCAAAAAGAGTGTGGGCTTGCGGGCTGATCATTTTCTGTTCTCTGGCTTTTTCTAGTGACGTCATGATCTCTTTGTAGGTGTCCCTTTGCTTCCCATTTCTGACAGCACCTTGTTAGGAAAGCTTTCACGCCTGACAGTGCACGGTCCCCCAAACTGGAGGAAAACAGTCCGCCCTCCCGTACTCAACTGTTGCTTCCAGGCACATCCGTAAGAGCCCCCTCTGTCGTCCCAGCCCACACAATGGTCCCAAGCATTATTTCTGTGAACTGCTGTATTTTTAGGATCTGGCAGCCAATCTTCTCTAGACCAAGGTCTTAGAGGGAGAGATCTCAGTTACCCAGCATTGCTCGTTCTCCAGCCAAGCCAGTTCTGCACTCGCCAAGGACTCAACAAATACACGTTTGAATCTAAATGGAATGAGCATTTGTTACGTGAGCTTGTTCCAAAATCCTGACAGGAGCTAATAATAGTAATCCAGCTACAGGTTTTCCTTTCCGAGACCAAGCTCCTCAGCTCTGTGTGTCTGTGTGGCCTCCTGGCTGAAGCCCGAGTGAAGGCAATGATTTGGAATCTCCTCTCTCTTCCCGGCCCATGCTGTGCAAGTGCGATTGCTGATTGTGGAATCACTGCGTCTGACACTCATCTACTCTCGTCTTGCCTCTCGTCTTGCAGGACAACCCTGTCAAGTACGGTGTCCTGTTGCCTTCTCATTCACTTATTTTTTAGTGAGGTGAACAGAGCTCCTTCTGCACCCCTGGGGCCCCAGGCTCCACAGTGTACTTCCCCTGGACTCTCAGCATTTATAGAAAACATTCAGGCTGCAGATGATTTTTCTGCCCGGGAGAAGAAGTGGATTAGGAAGTCCTGGGTCACTTTCTCAGTTCTTCGCACAGCCTTCCTTGATCTCCAGGAACCATGGCACAGGACAGCTCCCACGGTGTCCCTTCCCTATATAACCTCAATTCAGCTTTCACATCTCAGATCCCAAATGTCACTCCCTCACGCGCTTGTCTTGGGGCTTGGAAAAAGAGTCGAAATACTATATTTATAAAACGAATAAGTAAACGAATGCATTTACCCTGCCTCTGTCCGTCGGCTCATCGCCTCATCAGTCCTAGACCTGCAGCTTTGCCAGGGAGGGACTCCACCACCTGGGGGCAGCAGAGCCTCGCCAGCGGCCAGACGACACTTGGATTAGAGCGCGGCGGAACCTCCACTGCGCTGCAAGTTTGGGACTGGATTTGGACACTGCTGCGCTGGTCTGGTGTCTCTCACACCACTCTTATGCTTTGCATTCTAAATGCACAAACTAACTGGTAGCAAGTTAGTAACAGTGGCATTTGCTCTCCAAACAAGAAGGTCTTCAACTCTGGAAGTCTAGAGAATGTTTCAATGTGATCTGTTCAAACAGGGTCACGTGCAGTCACACTAGCCAACAGATCTGCACTGAAATCAGCTTATAAATGAGACCTGGGTACACCCAAGACAGGAAGGCTGACCTGGGGCGTGCCCTGTTTCTGCAGGCTCTGCCCCAGGAGAGGCAGGAGAACTCATTTTCTATTCACTACTGAGGACTCGGCATTGTTTGCATGGGGTGTGTTTTGTTTTGTTTCATGGATGACAAAGCAGTCCTGGAATGTGGATGGGACGAGTTGGCAAGGATTTCTAGCATGTGAGCCTCAGAGTATTTTTAGTTCTACCCAAGAACACACTCTCTCTCTCCTCTGTAGATGCCAATGTGCTGCCTTATGAATAAGCAAGGCTCAACAGTATCGGCAGGAGAATGGACAAATAGAATCCAAGGAACAGTACAGAAGATCCGGGAGAAGGGAGACATTTTTACAATAAATACTTATCCTGACATCCCTGTAAGTCACTCTCCTGGTGTTGCACGCTGACATGGCAGCAAGTTTCATCATTTTATTTCTTTTTAGGGAAAAACAATATTCCACGATAAGTATAGAAGTCAACTTCTTTATGCTCCTATCTGCTGCTGTGTGCCTGTTTCCTGTTTTTAGGGGCAATTTTTTGACATTCTTGGATCTGCTCGTCATTCCCTATGCCCACTTTTGAGGAGACACCACACGGTTCCATTGTGGCTGGGTATTTTTCTTTCCTACCAGGGACCTACATGAGATGGGATTTCTCTCCAGCTTCACCGGCACCTGTTACTTTCCAGCTTTTTTGTTTGACTTTAAGACTACTCTAGAGGGAGCAAAGTGGTATCTTACTGAGACGGGGAGCACTTTTTCAGGTGACTTTGGGTCATTTGTCTTTGTAATTTGCAGTAATGTTTTCTTCAAGTCCTTGTTTTCTGATGGAGGTTTTGTCTTTTGTGGTTAATACAGCTTTCAATATATTTTGGAGATTAAACCCTTCCAAGATATGTGGATTTTTATATTCTCTCTATGGTTATCTTCACTTTCTTGATAATGTCTTTTAATGCATAAGATTCTGAATTTTGATGAAATATTATGTGGTGTTTTTATTTCCCCTCTAGTTGCTCATGCTTCTGGTAGCTACATCTCAGAATTCATTGTCACGTCCAATCCCTTGCAAATTCTGCTCAGTTTTCTTCCGTGAATCTATTTTTTAGTGTTGATATCAAAATTGTTCATCCATTTCAAGTTGTTTTTTGGTGTGGTGTGGGTGGGGGGTTGTCTAACTTTATTCTGTTGCATGTGGATATCTGCTTATCCAGCGTCATTTGCTAAAGAGATTGTTCTGTC